TCAGAACGGTTCTAAATAAATTTTCACTTCAAAATATCAGAACCCGGAACAATTATTTGTAGGCCATACAAACGCTTGGTCGGTGCGGGATTCAAACCTCATTGCTAAGGCACTGCACCACAGAGTCACGGAGCCACAGTAATATTTCTGTTAAGAAAAAGTAAATACATAATAAAAGACTGCATCAAAATATTAAAATAAAAAATTATTTCTATTTGGCCTTTATTATATCCTCATATGGTTATTTTTCGTTACTTGTTATCGTTGTACGTAATTACATTTTCCTAAAGGTTCTTTTGAGAGGGCTTCAATAAAATTCCAATTTTGTGCCTAAAAAATCTCATTTAAACGATATTTGTAGGCCCCGTTTTAATACGTCGTCACCGCGTGTTTACTTAATTAAAAACGGCGACCTTACCTGTTTTTTTATCTGATTTCAAAGTTATATTACTAACCACAACAATATATCCTTCTTTTTTCTATTAACTATTGACTTCCTGCATGTGCTACCCGGTCGTTACTCCGTCTGGTAGTACCGCTCTACAATTAGACTGTTGGTACGAATATGCCGCTGGAGAATTTTTTGTTCCCATCAGTTGTCTGTTTTTCGAGCTTTATGGCCAGCTTATACGTATATAAACATATATAAAAGATAAGTAAAATACACTAATGGATTGTTCAGGACATTATTATACAACAAACTCCCAGAAAATACAAGAAAGTATATCTATAGTCTATCAAACATAAATCTTCTCAAAAACTAATAAAGAACACATACGAGTATTTACACTGAGGACGATTCTCGACTATTAAAATTAAAATATCTTATTTCAGAGAAAGTTTTGACGCTGCAGTTGTATTATGGTTCACGAATGAGTTAGCTTGACCCGAGAAGGACCACATACTCACAGAATACCAGCGTAAAATAGCAGTTTAATGCTGCTGTGTTTCGTATGGTGAGTGTAGAGAACCAGATATCTTTTCTACTTAAAACGAGGGATTCCATCTTAGTCCTCAAGGGTGACACGCAACGACATTATGATTCGTATTTGAGATGTAGATGACTATGGGCCACAACATCCACTCACTATCAGGTCAATGTACAGTCCCATAATATATTTTTTATCGAAATATAAGCATACCACTGCAAGACTTCCAGCAACATTTGGTCAGACCAAAAACTAATAACCGGGTTTATGTTAAAATCCTAGTCTCAATGACCTTGATCTGCGGAAAGCGATCGAAACGTCGAGAATTAATATTATACGAGTAATAATCATATTGGCGAAAAAAGTACCCATTATAAATCGTGTGTAATGGTGATGTGAGAGAATCAACTACCATCATTTTGTGATTTCACATCGTTATCGAAAAAAAAAACACGATTCCACAAAATACACTCAATAGAAAATAATTGCGAAGTAGCTTCTGAAAATATCTATATTTTCATCTTTCTTAGATTTCCATAAAATAATGTTGAGTATAATAAATATGTATGTATGAGGATATATCTATAGCCATGCATTCTTCCAAAACCCACTATACGGTGTTAATGGGAGACTTCAATACAAAACTAGGCACAAGAGAAAACGGTGAGCTGGAGGTAGGGAAATTTGGAATAGGGCAACAGAACCCAAGGGGCCAGTAGCTGGCCGATTTCATGGAGAAAGAAGGACTCTTTATGATGAACTCTTTCCTCCAGAAGCGGCCCCGCAGGAAGTGTACCTGGTTGAGCCCCGACGGTTCGATAAAAAATGAGATTAACTTCATTATGACGACCAGACGACAACTGTTCAGTGATGTCTCAGTGATCACAAGTGTGAAAACTGGTAGCGATCACCGAATAATTGAACCTAAACGTTAAGTTGGAGTGGTCTCGTCTAATGAAGTCAACGCTCCGTCCCCCTCGTGCTCTAGTCCAGAGTCCCGAAACCTTTCAGCTCGAGTTACAAAACCGTTTTCAGTGCTTATAAGACTGCAATGAAGTGGACGATATGAATGATAAGCTCGTGGAAACTGTCCATGCGGTCGGAGCTAAGTTCTGCAAGACCCGCCGCAGGAGAACACAAAAACTCTCCGATCACACTCTTACTCTTATGGCTGTTAGACGGTAAATGAAGCTGCAGTCTTCAGTAGATTTGACAGCATACGGACAACTGAACAGACAGATCTCCAAATGCATGCGGCGGGACTTACGCAGCTTCAATACAGCTTGTATTGAAGAAGCGATCGAGCGTAAACAAGGCTCCAAAGTCTTTGCCAGAGATCTGTCTGCCAGAAAGAGCCAACTGCCAAAACTGAAGACCGAGTGTGGCAGCATCGTTTCAGGGACACCTGAGATTTTGAGCCAGATTGAGAGGTTCTATGGGCAGCTGTACACGTCATCGTTGGAGCCACATGCAAGTGTGAGTAACGATTCAAGAGCAAGTCTTATACGACATTGTTCCGAAGATATCCCGGACGTCAGTCTCAGCAAGATTAGAATGGCTCTCCTGCACCTTAAAAACGGCAAGGCCCCAGATTTGGATAGAATTACAGCGGAGCTTCTGAAAGTGGGTGGAAAACCGGTACTTGAACTCCTTCAGAAGCTCTTTAATTCCTACGTGGTGGCACTACTCCGGAGGCGTGGAGCGGAAGTGCGGTGGTCTTTTTCTTCAAGAAACGCGACAACGCTCTCTAGAAGAACTACAGACCGATTTTCCTTCTGAACTGCGTCTACATGCTGTGTTTTTTTAAAATCTTTATTGATTATAGAGGGTTTGATCCACTAGATCATGTCACCCTCATAAGTACACAATCAAATACATATAATCAGACAATGATAAATTCACGTAAACAATAATAAAAAATTATCTGTTCTTAATACCTAACAATACTAGTTTATAAAGTTTTTCCATCAAGAAATTCTCAGTAGCTGCCCGGAGGCAGGAATCCGGCGGTGTTTCACCCCCGTGCCTCGGAAAGCACGTAAAGCCGTTGGTCCTGCGCCTGATCTCTCTCCGGTCGTGTCGGTTTACCGTCCCATCGGACTATGAGAGTGAGGGAATAGAGAGTGCACCTGTGCTTGCGCATACACTTGGGCACTATAATCCTGTCCTGCGCAGATGGCTAGTCTCCGCTGAGACTGGCCGCCGTGACCGAAATTCGGTCTGGAGGACATTATTATAAAGTTTTCTAGCTTTATCCGACAATGGAAACGCTAAAATACTATTATACAATCCAACACTATTTTTGTCAAAACCTAATAGTTTTCTACATATATGCTTCGTTCCGTTCACTACTTACGTGCTGTTTTCGAGAGTCATTACGAATACGCACACAGACAGAAAAATACAATCTGCTACTTTGCCTTGCGTAACTATGTGGACTATGAGAAAGCTTTTGATTCCGTCGAAATTTGGGCGGTGCTAGCTGAAGTAGCGCTGAAGTATTTGTACAGTAGGTGTACGATGGTTATACGAGTACAGAATCAGAGTACGAAATCTATTAAACTGCAGAGAGGTGTAAGACAGGGTGATATTACTTCCCCGAAACTCTACACCGCTGCATTGGAAGACGTTTTAAGCTACTGAACTGGAAAGGATACGGTATTAACACCAATGGCGAGTACATCACTGAGCATTCAGTTCGGTCCGAGTTCATCTGAGTATGCCAAAGGTATACATGAAGATAGACATGACCCAACGATTATACGCCTGTGTCTTATTCACGCCCGACAGAAGGCTGTTAAGCACTTTGGTAACAAGCGCGCATAAAACATATTGCAAACTGATTTTTTCATGTCCGCCTCATCGATACCTATGGTCTGTGACATACCCAGGTGTCGGTATGTTTCAGCTTTGGAAAGGGTCCTTATGTTGATGAGCATAGGCAAGTCTATGCCCTCAGAGTTAGCAACCCTACCCCTTTCCACATGGAGGACCGCACACTTATCCTTCCTAAGCTCCATCTCCATTCTAATAGAATTGCTGTAATCACGAGTGATGTTTAGCAATTCTATAAGATGGGAGCGATTGGAGGCGAATAACTTGAGATCATCCATATAGAAAAGGTGGTGATCACTTTTGTACCTCCTTCCCGAAGCTGAAATCCCCTCCCGGAATCCTCCAAGAAGGGATTATTATTTATTGGGGTATCTATAAAGCTTTCTCATCTGGTTGGGCAGTATAAATATATAATTGTTAATAAAATGGTAAACATACATAAATATGAATAAAATAAAATAAATACATAAAAAATACATAAATATATAAAAACCCAACCAGATGGAAGCCCTCGGCAGGGGAGACCAGACGGCTGAGGGTTAGGGGGAAAGGGAAAGAAACCGGCGGACGATGCGGGCGGTATCGAGGAGCACCGCCTTCTGCATTTGAGCCTGGAGCGGTCCGTCACGGAGTCCCAGTCGCCTCAGATGACCCGGGAGGCTGACTGGGATTAACCCGTTCGCAGAAACGACCACAGGAATAATTTCGGTCGGCAGACCACCCCACATGCCGGTAACCTCGTGAGCCAGGTCCAGATATTTTGTCACCTTATCTGTTTCGGCTTTCACGAGGTTCTCGTCATAAGGAATGGTAATGTCGACCAAAAAGATCCTTGACTGTGCCCGGTCCATCAGCATAATATCAGTGAAGTGATGTGGGGAGATTCTTAATAAATTACTCACCAATCACTTTTTATAAAAGTTTATTATAAGCAGAAGAGTTCACACAATTAAATATTTCATATATGCTATAGTTCACAGTTACAATAATTCACGTATACAATTGTTCACAAATAGAATAGTTCACATATATAATACTGTTTATAATTTAGCACAAAGCATAGCAGAGAAGTTATTAGCATGAGAAGGAAGAAATACCATTCAAAGCAAAACGCAAAAACAAAACAAAAGCCGGGCGCAAGCGTCATACGTCTAATCGTCACAGATTATTAATTTTTGATTGTTTATTTTTCTTTTTCAGATTAATGACGCCACATCACTCCCCCCCAGAGACCATCTATGATGGGCGATAATAATCAGGTAATTTAACTCTGCGTCCTGAGCGTGTACAACTTTTCTCATACTCTTCTTTTTTCTTTGCAGGTGGTGTTCGACATGTTGAAGCGTCAGAGGGTATATAGGCAGGTTTTATTCTATCTATTGAGACCGTTTGTTCTTTGCCTTTCATGAGTAATTTGTAAATCTTGTCTCCTCTTTCCAGCACTTTGAAGGGACCGGAGTACGCTGGTTGCAGTGAACCTTTTACAGAGTCATCCCTGACATAAACGTGAGTCGCATTTGGTAAGTCTTTAAAGATAAATACTTTTTTACTACCGTGACGTGTTCCAGGTGATGGACGAATATTGTTCATTATTAGCCTTAAGCGTGATAAGAAATCCGTTATATCTGTGCTACTTTCGCTGTTGTTAGAATGCAGAAATTCTCCTGGTAACCTAAGTGATTCACCATAAAGTAACTCAGCGGGTGATGCTTGAAGGTCTTGTTTCAATGCATTTCTCATACCCAGTAATACTAATGGCAATGATTCTGTCCATCGTTGATTATTGTGACATACAATAGCGGCTTTCAAATGTCTGTGCATCCTTTCTACCATACCGTTGCACGCTGGGTGGTAAGATGTAGTTCGCTTATGCTGAAATCCGATTAGATTGGATAGATGTTTAAATAAGGAACATTCGAATTGTCTTCCTCGATCTGTGATGATTTCAGCAGGACACCCAAAACGCGAGATCCAGCCATTAAGAACTGCTTTTGCAACAGTTTCAGCAGTGATATCTGATAAGGGTATTGCCTCAGGCCATCTGGTAAATCTATCAACTGCTGTAAGACAATAGTGATATCCATCTGATACTGGTAAAGGTCCAATGATGTCTATATGGACGTATTGGAATCTCATCATCATTCTCTAAACCATTTCCCATTATCTGGGGTCGGCGCAGTAAATCTTTTTGTTCCATTCCTCTCTATCAGCCGTCATTTCCATACTTACTCCTTTCATTCTCATATCACTCTTCACACAATCGATCCATCTTTTATTCGGCCTTCCTCTGCCCGTGTGTCCCTCCACATTCATATTCAACACTCGTTTTGTGACATGACTTTCATTCCTCCGCATCACATGCCCAAACCATGCCAATCTGCTTCCTCTCACCTTTTCTACCACTGGCGCTACTTTCAGGCTTCCTCTTATATACTCATTCCTTATCTTATCCATCCTTGTCACACCACACATCCATCGTAACATTCTCATTTCATTCGCATGCAGTCTATTTTCATCCTTCTTCTTGACGGCCCAGCATTCACTTCCATACATGACGACAGGTCGGATGATCGATTTGTAAATTTTCCCCTTCAGCCTTATTGGCATTCGGGGATCGCACGTTGTGGCTGTGACCTGTCGCCATTTCATCCACCCTGCGTTAATCCTATGCTGCACAGCTCTATCTATTCCGCCGTCGCCTTGAATGAGGGAACCGAGGTACTTGACATCTGAGCAGATAGGCAGTATAGCGCCATCCAACGACATGGGTACAGGACTGGAAAGACCGCTGAAATCACAGCACAGATATTCGGTTTTGGATCTGCTGATCTTCAAGCCAACACTTTCCAGCCTCCGTTGCCACCCCGTCAGTCTGCTCTGTACCTCGATGCCTTCTTCCCCGACAAGCACGATGTCATCGGCAAAGAGCATGCACCAGGGTGCCTCATCCTGCAGGTCCGACGTCAAAGCGTCCATAATCAGTAGGAAGTAATCTGGCAGGTGGTAATTTGTATGTGCCTAAAGGTGCGGAGACATGACGTGTTATTTTGGCACACTGGCAGGGGTGACACGTTTTCGACCATTCACGACAGTCTCTCTTTACTCCTGGCCAAACGTAGCGTTCTGTTATCATCTTTGTTGTAGCTTTGACCCCAGGATGGCTCAGCGAATGTAAACTGTCAAAGACTTGCTTCCTTAAGTTTTGAGGTACGTAAGGCCTTTGATTTCCAGTTCTATCATCACAATATAGGTCTGTCTTCGTGCCAGGTATTGGTACCTTAACTAATCGAAGTGATGTCCCACCTTTCAGAATTTCTTTCAGTTCCGTATCCACGTCCTGCATTTTGGCTAAGGTAACTAGATTAATAGGCTGAGCTAATTCTTCCACTCTTGAAAGCGTATCAGCCACTATGTTATCTTTTCCAGAGATGTGTTGGATGTCGGTGGTGAACTGTGATATAAAATCGAGATGACGATACTGGCGGGGTGAGCACTTATCTTTTCTGATGTGAAATGCATAACAGATTGGTTTGTGATCAGTAAAAACAGTAAAATGTCTTGCTTCAAGCATGTGTCTCATATATAGCATGACTCGTATATAGCAAGAAGTTCCCTGTCGTATGGCGAGTATTTCTGTTGGGCTGGTTTCAGTTTCTTAGAGAAGAATGCAAGTGGCTGCCATGATCCATTCTTTACTTGCTGCAAGGCGGCACCGATTGCCTTATCTGAGGCGTCGGTTACCAAACCTAATCTTGCGTTTAGATCTGGATGTGCCAAGAATGCTGCTTGACAGAGGCTAGTTTTGCACTGCTCAAAAGCATGTAAGGCTTCTCCCGATATATCCACGGAACGTGATCCTTTTACGGACCCCGTCAGCAAAGAGTTTAATGGTGCCTGAATTTCAGCAGCTCCTTTGATAAATCGGCGATAAAAGTTTAGCATCCCTAGAAAACGCCGAAGTTCTCGTACGGTTTTCGGAGTGGGGAAGTCTTTGATGGCTTGAACCTTACTGTCTAAAGGCTTAACACCGTTGGATGAGACATGATACCCTAGAAAGGTGATTTCTTTCTTACCAAATTCACATTTGCTCGTGTTGATAACCATACCGAATTCCTTAAGTTTTTCAAAGATTTGGCGAAGGTGATCAAGATGGCTGTCTTCGTCCTGGGAAAATATTAGAAAATCATCCAGGTACACGAAGCAAAAATCAAGTCCTCGTGTTATCTCGTCTACAAACCTTTGAAAAGTTTGGCTCGCATTTTTTAAGCCATAACTCATGTATGGAAATTCGAACATACCAAATGGTGTGGTGATGGCTGTCTTCGGAATATCATCTGGGTTGACTGGTATCTGGTTGTACGCTTTCACCAAGTCTAGCGTAGAAAAAATTGTACAACCCGATATGTAATGGGTGAAGTCTTGTAAGTACCTGATGGGATATTTATCTGGAATTGTCTGTGCGTTTAACATTCTGTAATCGCCACATGGCCGCCATCCGTTATCTTTCTTTGGTACAGGATGGAGCGGAGAAGACCACGGGCTCTCAGATGGACGTGCTATTCCACTCTTTATCATTGCCTCGAATTCTTGCTTCGCTATTTTCAGTTTTTCTGGTGATAATCATCTCGGATTGCAAGACACAGGTGGTCCTGGCTTAGTACGAATGAAGTGGACGGTACTGTGCTTAGGAGCTTGCGGTACACCTGACGGTCGGGTAATCTCCGGAAAGTCACGTAGTAATTCAACATACTTTGAATTACCTCTCATGGTTTTAACAGAAGCTATCACATTAGCTGTAGCAGGCTCAGCAGGTGTTTGCAACGAAGTACTATTATCTATTAACCGACGGTTACGACAGTCGACAACGATATGGTAGAATGATAAAAAATCAATTCCGATGATTGCTTTGTTTACATCGGCTACTACAAAGCGCCATGAAAAATCTCGTCGAAGTCCCAGATTTAGTTCGAGATGAGCATAGCCGTAGGTGGGTATGGGAGTTCCATTTGCTGCAAAAAGTTCATAAGATGTTCGAGGTCGTCGTTGTTTAAGTGCCGTGCGCGGGAAGACACAAAGGTCGCTTCCAGTGTCGACCAAGAATTGCATCTTCGTTCTGCGATCCGTGACAAACAGGCGACCGGATGAACTGAGGCAATCATTTGTCGCCACTAACGACTGCCCTGATCGTTTCCCTGTTGGTAATCACAAGGCTTAACGCACTTATTAGCCTTATCGCCGAATTTATAATGATAGTAGCAAAATGGAAACCTTTTATAATTTGACTGAGACCGATTACGAGTATGACTGTGACTAAGGTTGCGGTCTCGTTTGTTGTCTCTATTTTGCGACCGTGATTTCCTTTTATTTCGGAAGGATAATGCTTGCACTTGACGAGTAAGTTCCGCGATCTGTTTCGACATTGTGTCAAGTAAAGATCCTGGTGCTGCATCCATTGAAGCTACGTGTGGAGATGCCGGAACAAGTTCGTGCACCTTATTGGCTAAGGCAGCCAGTGCTTCCGAAGTTGAGTCAGGCTGTGATGCAATTACGGTTTGCAAATTGTTTGGGAGGCGACTAGTCCATATTGTCCTGATAAAGTCATCTGGGACGTTAGGGCCCGCTAAATGTTGCAAATGTCGTAAAAATTGTGACGGACGCCTATCTCCAAGTTCCTCATGCATTAACAATTGCTTCACTTCTTTTTCTCGAGATGCTGAGAGCCTCTTAATAAGTTCTGTTTTAAGTTTCTCGTATTTATCTTTTTGAGGTGGTGAAACTATAATGTCTTTGACTTCTGCCGCATATCTATGGTCTAATTGTGCAATTACATAATAATATTTTGTTTCGTTTTCTTTAATACCGGATAGTGCAAAATTCCCTTCTACTTGTGCGAACCACACAGCAGGCTCTTCAGCCCAAAACGGTGGCAGTCGGACACCGACACGACATATATCGGATGGTGTAAATGACTCTTCTTCGTTACGTGTTTCCCGTGATAATGATTGGGAGGTTTTAGCTTGTTTCTCTGCCATCTTATTTAGAATATTGTTATTTAAATATTACTTTTGATTCTGCTTACGTTTGGGTTCTAGCAGTACAAAGTCCAAGCGAGGTCACCAGTGAAGTGATGTGGGGAGATTCTTAATAAATTACTCACCAATCACTTTTTATAAAAGTTTATTATAAGCAGAAGAGTTCACACAATTAAATATTTCATATATGCTATAGTTCACAGTTACAATAATTCACGTATACAATTGTTCACAAATAGAATAGTTCACATATATAATACTGTTTATAATTTAGCACAAAGCATAGCAGAGAAGTTATTAGCATGAGAAGGAAGAAATACCATTCAAAGCAAAACGCAAAAACAAAACAAAAGCCGGGCGCAAGCGTCATACGTCTAATCGTCACAGATTATTAATTTTTGATTGTTTATTTTTCTTTTTCAGATTAATGACGCCACATCAGGTTTATTCGCAAGAATAGTCCTGTCTGCGATGATGGCCCGGTCCCAGTAGAGCCTGGCGCGGTCATTTTCGAGCACGGCTTCCGGCAAGTACTTATAATACGGCAGTTTCCGATCCACGAGGCCGCATTTCAGAGCGAGCTCCTGGTGTAGAATCCTGGCTACTAGATACACAATCTATGCGGTGCAAATACTCAGAGTTAGAAAGCGCCGAACAACCGGAGATGACATGCCTAAGTGACTCACCGGGATGGCGACAAGCTCGACAGATGTCGACGGCGCCATCCTTTAGGATGTATCTCCGATAATTGTTGGTCTTAATAACCTGATCCTGTATCGCACAGACAAAACCCTCGGTTTC